AACCAATAATAAAATTCTAAGCCCCCCAATCGACTGAATAAACCCCTCCTGTAGGCCAAGGGGATTCCAAAGTTAGCCTGAAACACTAGTCCACACCACGATAGAAAGAGTAGGTCCGACATGCTTCATTATATGCTCCTCATATTAGAATTCAGCACAGTAACCAGCATTAACATTAAAACAGAGACCTGAAGACTGATGAAACAGATTTTTTGTTGTAACAAGACTCAATTACAGCCTGACTCTAGTATAGCATCACAGGACAGATAGCAGGCCCTGGAAGAATACCCCAAAATATATTTCTCTGACATATTTTGAAATAGCCCTGAAAAGCTATCTGTTCGGAAAATCTACATTCTGTAGAGAATGCCGATTCCTTTCCAGGTGAGAAGTAAGAAAAGTTTTGGTACCTTTTTAGTTCTAATAAAAGCCCTGAGCCTGGTACCTGGAGGCTTCATCTCCGTGATAAAACCTTGGTCTCCATAAACCCTTATCTTAACCCAGATATTCCTTTCTATTAATTCCAGGTTTTTAGATAATAACTCTTCCAACCAATTGCCAATCAGAAAAATCTTTGAATCTACCTGGAAGCCCTCTTTATTAATCGATACTTTTTTTTTTTGAGACCGTGTTTTGCTCTTGTTGCCTAGGGTGGAGTGCAATGGTGCAATCTCAGCTCACCACAGCCTCTGCTTCCCAGGTTCAAGCGATTCTCCTGCCTCAGCCTCCTGAGTAGCTGGGATTACAGGCTCATACCACCATGCCCAGCTAATTTTGCATTTTTAGTAGAGAAAGGGTTTCTCCAGTTGGTCAGGCTGTTCTTGAACTCCCGACCTCAGGTGATTCACCTGGCTCAGCCTTTCAGAGTGCTGGGATTATAAGCATGAGCTGCTATGCCTGACCCAGTATCTTATTGTCTCTCTAAAATGTATAAAACCAAGTTATAGCCTGACCATCTTGGGCACATGTTCTCAGGATCTCTTGGGGCTGTGTCACAGGCCACTGGTTACTCATATTTGGCTCAAAAGAAATCTCTTCAAATATTTTACAGAGTTTCACTCTTTTTGTCAACATATTTTAAATGTTAAACTATGTTTTTAAAGACATGCAGAAAAAAACCAAAGACCAATTACTAGTTTATCCATTAGCTGTTAAGTTTCAAAATGTTCCCACAGAATATTTAGAGATGCTTTTCCTTCTCCCCTTCCATAGTAAGACCCAGAACGAAGAGTTTCGGGTATCTGCACTCATCTCAAACTGGCATGCCTAGAGCAAACTGTCCTGATCATACTTGAGGAGCTGACACCCAGAATGAACCTGAGGAAAGGGCAGGCAAGACAAACCAAAACAGCAGTGCTGAACAGTGAATGATTTTCTAAGTACAGAAGTACACACCAATGCTAGATTAAGAGTTTGCTAGAAAAAATAAGATTAAACTTGCAATTCAACTATTTTTCTTGGGAAAATTCTAAGGTAAACAAACAAGCAAAAAAGGTAAGGAATCTATTTGCACTATGTTATACAAATTCTTTCCCCTTCAGGTCTTAGCAATCACCATTTCTGAGAAAAAGAAAATAGAGAGCTCATATTGATCTCCATTTTCCATTCTATGCATTTATTCACAACCAAGCAACGAGTTTAGAAAAGGTGACAGTACATCAATGGCTTCAAGCAAAGTGCTGCTTGGTTTTAGTAAGAAATGCGTTTTTAACTACCATTTACCAAGTTATTCAGAAAAATAATTTTTAAAATTAATGGTAAATATTTCAAGCTTAATAGACTTCAAACACAAACACTTCTTGTCTCCCAAACAAATAGCATAATTTTAAATAGAGTTAATGATTTCTGCTCTGTTAGTGAGAAGAAATGCCTAAAAACTCATTATTTGGAGAAACGAGAAGATGTAAATCTTATTGTCAAGCACTCAGCTCAATGAAATAAGAGACTGGTTACTGTGAACCAAGATATTTAAAAAAGTTCCTGACCAAATTTGTTTCCTTTAATTTTTCTTTGATAAATCTAAAATTTAATCTTTAGATTTGGCCTACAGTTCTCCAATGTGATAAATTATTAAACACCAACATACACAATTTAACTTGCCACAAGATGTATTTCAATCTCAAATAAAAACCTTAACTCTCACAGCAGAGATTGACTTTTCAACAGACGGCAAAGCACAGAATTGATATGCTAATGAGAAGAAAGTTGTTGAAAGAAGCCAGGACAAAAAGCTGAGGGCCCAGGGATCTGATTTTTGGTTCCACAGGACTTGTTATAGCTTACAAAGTTAGATGCTTTTGAATAAAAATTTCTCATTAAATAAAATACAAAAACTCTTACATGCACAAGAGAAAGAGAATAGGATTAAGTGGCCCACACCCAAAGGCTACGTACTACCTACTATTGATTATGAATTACATACTGAATTCAAAAAGCATGTAATTAAGCACCATGCAAACCAGGGACACAAAGATGATCTCCCTTTAGAGAGACTATAAGCCAGTGGTAAGAGATATATAATGACAAGAATTACAAAACAATGATTTGAGTGCTTTAGGAGGGATGAACCTTGTCTGGGAGGCAGTGAAGGCTTCACAGGGGAAGTAACAGACAGGCATACCTAGGAGGTAGTGAGAGATTTTACTAAGTAAGGAGAGAAAGGAAAAAGAACAAATAGAATATGATCAAGCAAATAACTTCCAATAGAAACAAGAAGAAGATACATTTAAAAATATATTTCCACTGCCCAATAGTAAAACTTATTTCAGACACAATGCATTACTGAGGTGAAATTAAAGTTACATAAAACTGAAAACATCACACTGAAAAAACACTTCATGGGTCTCAACTGAAGGTGGCACAGTACAAGAAGGCATTTGGACATGTGTGAGTTATTTTCTGGTTGGCCCAATGACCCTATCTGTGTTTTTTTGGGTGTCCTAATGACATACTACAATGAATGGGACCATGATACACATTCAGAAATTATTCCACCCAAATATCCATAGGGCTCCTGTGGAGAAAGGTGCTAGAAGAATCATGGCTAGTAGCCATGCAGCAATAGGCGTTGGCCCTAGAAATGCAAGACAAAGGCAAATTCAAGCATTGTTGTGAGAAACACAGGAATAAAATTTTGAAGAACAAAACAAACCCTGCGGAGGTTTGAAAATACATTCACAAATTCTTTGATGCTCCTCTCTTTAAGAGGTGGAGTCTAGGGTGCGGTGGCTCACGCCCGTATTTCCAGCACTTTGGGAGGCAAAGACGGGCAGATCACATGAGGTCAGGAGTTTGAGATAAGGCTGGACAAAATGGTGAAACCCCATCTCTGCTAAAAACACAGAAAAATTAGCCAAGTGTAGCGGCGCACACCTGTAGTCCCAGCCACTCAGGAAGCTGAGGCAGGAGAATTGCTTGAACCCAAGAAGCAGAGGTTTGCAGTGAGCCAAGATCGTGCCACTGCACTCTAGCCTGGGAAACAAGGGTGAAACTCTGTCTCATTCACACACACACACACACACACACACACACACACACACACAGAAAAAGAGGTGAAGTCTAATACCCCACTCCTTTGGTATGGGCTAGCTTGTAATGAACAGAAAAATAGCAGAAGTGATGTTGGGTACCTTGAGAAAAACAGGTCATAGAAGACACTGCAACCTCCTTGCTCTCTCCTTTGGATTGCATGCTTTGGGGCGGTTAGCTACTATGTCATGAGGACAATCAATCAGCCTATAGAGAGGCCCATGGCTGGGCCTTCTGCCAACAGCTATGTAACTAAGACAACTTAGAGGTGTGTCCTTCAGCCCCAGGTAAGTCTTCAGATGACTGCAGCCCTGGCTGACATCCTGACTGCAACCACAAGAGAAATCCTGATCCACAAAAACTCAGTCAGCTAATCTGCTCCCAAAGTCAACAAAAGCTGCAAGATAATACATGTTTATTGTTGTAAGCCATTAATTTTGACATAATTTGTTATGTAGCAACATAAAATTAATGTACTCGAAATAAAATAAAATATAGGATTCTTTATTTTTAAAAGTTAAGGCAGGGCACAGTGGTCACTTCTGTAATCCCAGCACAGGGCGAGCCAATCACCTGAAGTCAGGAGTTCGAGACCAGCCTGGCCAACATGGTGAAACTCTATCTCCACTAAAAATACAAAAAGTAGCCAGGTATGGTGGTGCATGCCTGTAATCCCAGTCACAGCTGAGGGACGAGAATTGCTTGAACCCAGGAGGCAGAAGTTGCAGTGAAGCAAGATTTGTGCCACTGTACTCCAAAAAAAAAAAAAAAAAAAAAAAGCCGGGTGTGGTGGCACATGGCTGTAATCACTTGGGTGGCTGAGGCAGGAGAATTGCTTGAACCTGGAGGTGGAGGATGCAGTGAGCCGAGATTATGCCACTGTACTCCAGCCTGGGTGACAGAGTAAGACTCTGTCTCCAAAAAAAAAAGTTAAGAAAGTGTCATTAACTCATTTGTTATAGAATACAACACTTTGGGGAGGGTGAGGAAGGAGTGGGTAGTATTAAGCCATTTTGAAAATAGGATATTCCAAATCCATTAGTATGTTTTGAAATAATGGGTATTTTTTTAAGTTAGAAGTTGTTTAAACAAAGAAAAAAAGTCTGATTAAACAAGCTTCCAGTGTAAACAGAAGCCGAGGAATGGAATGCTGCTTTTATAGCACTCTCTACCCTCTAACCTTTTCCTTAACATAGCAAAATTACCATACTCTTTGGCAAAAACTGTTTCCCATTTCCTATCTCTCTCTCTCTCTCTCTCTCTCTCTCTCTCTCTCTGTGACCTTGGCCATTCAAGTTTTAAAAAAATTCGACTGTCAGTCTCAAGGAAGCTACTGAGGAAGCTACATCCACTAACCTGGGTGCAAATATTTGGCAGACAGAGTGCAATTTTCACCATATCAGGCAAAATGGACTGATATAAATGTTGAGCTTCTGCTTCTTCAAGTACCTGAAAACCAATAAAATAACTTATGTGAATAATAATAACCAGTAAATATAATAACTAATGAATATGTTTGTTATGAAATGACATTACACATCTGCTTTTCATGGAATCCTGTAAAGTGGCACACTATCAGCATCACCAAACGTATGTAAAGGTATGTCAACAGGTGTATACAAATAAACTTACAAATTCATTTCCAAATGTACATCTGGCATTAAGGTAATTCACCTTCATGCCCTCTGAAAAAAAATTCAAGTATCCCAAATATCAAATACCCCTCACACAACATTTACAATAAAGTAAAACACTTGCAAATAGAAAACAGTACATTCTGTCCTCGGTTCTATCAACTAAAAACTGCTAGACCACCAAGGACTCTTTTAGAAGCTGCCATATATCCATCTAGCTTCAAGTCTACAATTGAAGAAATCTCCATAAGAGCCACATTAGTTACTTCAGAGAATACTCTATGGGTCAAATCTAATCCATTGGGTAATAAACAATGAGGTTTCTGATGGTCTTAGAATTTCTCGAATAGACACCCTTGGAAAATGAAAACCACAATTCTCATATCATAATTTGAAGCACAACAAACATGCCATGTATGGCCCATTTTGTCTTTTGTAAAATTTCCCATCTCTACAACACCTTTTAATCTAATTTCTTTCTTTCCTTTTTTTTTTTGAGACGGAGTTTTGCTCTTGTTACCCAGGCTGGAGTGCAGTGGCAATCTCGGCTCACTGCAACCTCCGCCTCCCGGGTTCAAGCAATTCTCCTGCCTCAGCCTCCTGAGTAGCTGAAACTACAGGCACGCGCCACCATGCCCAGCTAAGTTTTTGTATTTTTAGTAGAGACGGGGTTTCACCATGTTGACCAGGATGGTCTCGATCTCTTGACCTCGTGATCCACCCGCCTTGGCCTCCCAAAGTGCTGGGATTACAGTTAATCTAATTTCTTTCTAAACATCAGGGTATTTCTTTAAAAGTAGTGGAAATGGCCGGGCACAGTGGCTCACGCCTGTAATCCCAACACCCTGGGAGGCGGAGGTGGGCGGATCACGAGGTCAAGAAATGGAGACCATCCTGGCCAACATGGTGAAACCGTCTCTATTAAAAATGCAAAAATTAGCTGGGCATGGTGGTGTGCGCCTGTAGTTTCAGCTACTCAGGAGGCTGAGGCAGGAGAATTGCTTGAACCCGGGAGGCGGAGGTTGCAGTGAGCCGAGATTGCCACTGCACGCCAGCCTGGTGCCTGGCGACAGAGCAAGACTCTGTCTCAAAAAAAAAAAAAAAAAAAAAAAAAAGTGGAAATGGGCCAGCTGTGGTAGCTCATGCATGTAAATCCAGCACTCTAGGAGGCCAAGGCAGGCGGATCACAAGGTCAAGAGATAGAGACCATCCTGGCCAACACAGTGAAATCCTGTCTCTACTAAAAATACAAAAATTAGCTGGGCATGGTGGCGCGTGCCTGTAGTCCCAGCTACTTGGGAGGCTGAGGCAGGGGAATTGCTTGAACCCAGGAGGCGGAGGTTGCAGTTAGCCGAGATCAGGCCACTGCACTCCAGCCTGGCACCTGGCAACAGAGTGAGATTCTGTCTCAAAAAATAAAAGTTAAAAAAATAAAAGTAGTGGAAATGACAACATTCTTAATTTAAAGATACTACATATACTGTCAGGATTTAAGTAAATACTTTATCTATTTGAAATCACATTTTAACTGGAAGAGACCTCAGTTATAATCTAGTCTGATCTTGTCACTATTATAGAGAAAAGAAAACTAAGGCCAAGGAGGTTACCTGATGATCCTACATTGAGGTCAATTAAAACTAACTCAGAAAATTAGCTGGGCATGGTGGCACATGCCTGTAATCCCAGCTACTCTGGAGGCTGAGGCAGGAGAATTGCCTGAACCAGGAGGCGGAGGTTGCCGTGAGCCAAGATCGTGCCATTGCACTCCAGCCTGGGTTAAGAAGAGCAAAACTCCGTCTCAAAAAAAAAAAAAACCTAACTCAGAACAAGAATCTAAGTGTTCTCATCTCTATGCCACAGCTCTTCCTACTTCTCTATGTGACCAGTGTTTGGAATCGATGAAGAAACAGACTCCTGACAAAAATCAGCAACTAAGCTGAAGTAAGGGTAAACCATTTGCTTATCTGTAGCTGGACAGGGTATGTGTGTAAATAGAAAAAGTAACAAAGAGTATTTGCTCTGATTTTGCTGGTAAATTCTAACACTAAGAATTTTCCTTATACCAAAATTCTAAAACCCAACCTATGTTTACTTCCTTTTTTTAAATTAAGATAGTGAGTAAACATATTCAGAATGAACAGAAAGACATTTACAATTCAGGGAGTTGGGAATTCAATTAATCATAAGCATATAGAAAATTAAGTAAGTAAACAAAAGACAATTATTAATTCTGGAGAAAACAAAAAGTTGAACAAGAGAGGAAAACCAATCACAGCCCAGGTATGAATAGTGTTTATACTATCCAACTGAAAAAACAGAATATTGATGTAATTGAAATAAATATAAAAACCATAGTGAGAAAATGGGGAGGCAGAAATGAAGTTTGCATTTATGGTAGTGAGGAAGATGAGAATAATAGCTAAATCCTCATCTTCTAAAGTAGATTTCTTTTTTTAAAAGAAAGGTAAAACACTAAGAGTTTAGAGTAGTCAAATGGCTCCCTCTTTATAATCTGCCTCTTTAACTCAAAACTAAATTTTAAAAAAATCATATATTCATATATTCACATTTGATGATTTTAAGTACACACTAAAGATACTGGATTCTCTATACCTGAATATGTGTACAATATATTAATGCATTTGTTTAAAATATTCAAACTTGGCCAGGCACAGTGGCTCAGCCTGTAATCCTAGCATGTTGGGAGGCTGAGGTGGGCGGATCACAAGGTAAGGAGATCCAGACCATCCTGGCTAACACGGTGAAACACCATCTCTACTAAAAATACAAAAAATTAGCCAGGTGTGGTGGCACGCACCTATAATCCTGGCTACTCAGGAGGCTGAGGCAGGAGAATCACCTGAACCTGGGAGGTGGAGGTTGCACTGCAGTGAGTTGAGATGGTATCACTGCATTCTAGCCTGGGTGACAAAGCAAGACTGTTTCAAAAGAAGAAAAAAGAATTCAAACTCTTCCTGCTTATAATTCATCTTCCCCCCCCAGCCAAATAGAGACAGGGTCTTCCTCTGTTGCCCAGGCTGGAGTGCTGTGGGATGACCATAGCTCACTGTATCCTTGAACTCCTGGGCTCAAAAAATCTTCCTGCCTCAATCTTCTGAGTAGCTAGGACTACAGGCCTTTTTACTTTTGTTGTTGTTGTTGTTGTTATTTAGTCTTTATTTCATAATCATAAACTTAACTCTGCAATCCAGCTAGGCAAGGAAGGGAACAAGGAAAACATGGAACCCAAAGGGAACTGCAGCGAAAGCACAGATTCTAGGATACAAATGGGGTGGAGGGGTACTCTCCTGAGCTACAGAAGGAATGGTCTGGTGGTTAAGATAAAATGTAAGCCAAACTTATTAGAGCTGTCCACAGTCAGCAATGGTAATCTTCTTGCTGGTCTTGCCATTCCTGGACCCAAAGTGCTCCCTAGCATCTACAATACTCATCATGTCTTTCACCTTGCCAAAGACCACATGCTTGCCATCCAGTCTTGGCAGTGCAGATGAAAAACTGGGAACCATTTGTGTTGGGTCCAGCATTTGCCATGGACAAGATGCCAGGACCTGTATGCTTTAGGACGAAGTTCTCATCATCGAATTTCTCCCCACAGATGGACTTGCCACCAGTGCCATTACGGCATGTGAAGTCACCACCCTGACACATAAACCCTGGAATAATTCTGTGAAAGCAGGAACCCTTATAACCAAATCCTTTCCAGTGCTCAGAGCACAAAAGTTTTCTGCTGTCTTTGGAATCTCATCTGCAAAGCGCTCAAAGGAGATGCGGCCCAAGGGCTCGCTGTTGACGGCAATGTCAAAGAACACAGTGGGGTTGACCATGGCTGATACTACAAGGCTCCCGGCGGCAGCAGCATCTGCAAAGCCGTCTTGTTACTTTTTAAAACTCTTTATTCTGAACTAATTATAGATTTACAGGATGTTACAAAAATACTACAGAGGTACAGTATACCTCTCACCCAGTTTCTCTCAATGGTTATATTTTAGATTACTATAACACACTAAAAATCAGGAATACCAGTTCAATGTGTGTGTGTCATTCTATGCCATTTTATCACATGTACATTTGTGGAACTGCCACCAAAATCAAGATACAGAACTATGTCACTACAACAAAGATCTTGTACCACCCATATATAGTCACACTCAGCTTCCTTCCTCTCACTATTCAACACCTAACAACCACTAATTTCTTTTCCATCTCAAAAATTTTGCCATGTTACATAAATGGAAACATGAGTCCTTTGAAATTGACTTTTTAAAGATACATCTTAATGCCCTTAAGAGCCATTAAAATTACTACAAGTATCAATAGTTCATTCCTTCTCATTACTAAGTAGTATTCCACGGTATGAATATAACAGTTTGTCTAGCAATTCATCACTGAGAAGCACTTTGGTTGTTTTCAGTTTTGTATTAGCATAAATAAAGCTACCTTTTACTCTCAACTCACCTACATTGTTGTCTGAAATTACTTCCTGTAAACAGCACACTGTGTCATCTTTAAAACTCACTGTCTTTTAATAGATGAATTTAGGTCATTTATGTTTAATGTAGTCTTTGATATGTTGAAACTTAAATCTGTTATTTCATTTTATTGCTTTTATCAGTTTTATTTTCCCTTCCTCCTATGGGTTACTTAAACATCTTTTAAAATTCCATTTTTGTTTATCTAAAATGTTTTTGACTGCATCTCTTTGAATAGATTCTTTTTAAAGTGGCTGCTGAAGGACTGCATTACCTATAACTTATCAACATTTACTGGTGTCAACATTTCATCAGTTCCAGTATAGACTTTACCTTCCTTTAAGTTCCTTTACTCCTCTCCATTTATAATATAAATGTCTTCAATATTTCTTCTACATACATTGATAACTACACTAGACTTTTACAATTGAAAACAGTGCAAAAAGTCAAACACAATTTACAACGTTCAAAAAAGTTTTTAAAAAGTTTGTTACATTTACTATATTTTTACACTTTATATTGTTCTTTCTTCTTTCTTTATGTTCACTATTCCTTTCTTTTATAATTTCTTTCCTGTTTCAGGAAATTTCTTTAGACATTATTTTATGGTAGGTCTACTGATGACAAGTTCTCTTTTCCTTCACCTAAGAGCATTGTGGTTTTCCCTTCCTTTCTGTTCAAACTATATTTTGATTGGATATGGAATTCTGGGTTGACAGTTATTTCCCTAGTCCTCAAAAATTTCTGCCACTTCTTTCTGGTCTCCATGTTTGCTGATGAGAAATCCACTGTCATTCAAACTGTTTTTCTGTACAGGTTTTGTGTCATTTCTCTCCTGCTGTTACAAGATTTTTTCTTTGCCTTTGGTTTTAAGAAATGTGACTATAGTATGTCTTGGCATGAATTTCTTTGGGTTTATTCTACTTATGGTTCGGTCAGCTTCTTGAAATCATAGATTCATGACTTTTACCAAATTTTCATCCATTTTTTTTGAAATTTTTTCAGTCCTACCCTCTTTCCCCTCTCTTTCTGTCCACATGATGACACAAATATTATATCTGAATTATGGGTTTTGATTAACATCTATTTTCTCATAGCTGTTCAGACTGAGTAATTTTTCTTAATTTTTCCAAGTTCACCAATTCCTTCCTCTATCACCCTCATTCTAAATAAAACCTGTCTATTCCATTTTAAAAATTAAGTTATTACATTTTTCAGTTCTAAAATTTTCATTAGGTTTCTTCTGATAGCTTTTTTTTTTCTTTTCTGGGACTTTCTACTTTTTCATTTGTTTCAAGCATGCTTATAATTGCTCAGCTTTCTTGTGGTGGCTACTTTAAAATCATCATCAGATAATTCTAACGCCTGTGTTCTCTTGGGGTTGGTGTGTATTGACGTTCATTTTTCATTTCAGTTGAGATTTTCCTGATTCTTTTCTGGTTACGAGTGGCTTTAAATTGAAATTTGGATATTTGGGGTACTATGAATGTTTGTATCTTATTTAAATCTTCAGCCACAGCAGGCCTTCTATGACACTGTGCCAGCAGGAGAATGGGACAGTTACTTCATTACTAGCAACTGAGGGTAAAAATTCATGTTCCCCAATCAGCCTTTAGTACCCAAAGTAGAAAGTAGGGGAGGTACCCTGATAGTGCTGGGTTGGGGTAAGAGTTCAAGCTCCCCATTAGGTCTTTACTGGTATTACCGTGATACCATGCACTCTCCTAGTCCCTAGCTGGTCAGTGGTCTTCTACCTTTCAGAGTCTTATGTTTGTTTTACATACAAGGTCCTGTGTTTTTTGCTGTGCTTAGTGGGAAGGACAGAGAGAAGTGCCTATTCAAACATGTTAAACCTAAAGATATTAAACCTTAAGTGCCTTAGCAGGCTGACACGTCTCCTTTGGGTACACATCCTTGTCTTTTCAAACTGACACGAGTGACTGCTGTGGTGCTCTGCTGACAAGCTTTACGATATTGCTTATTTATCTGATGAAGCATTATTGCACTATACTTCTTCACAACTGTCAACACTCCAGACCTATGTCTAATGCTGCTTTGGAAACACATAAGATAACCTAAAAAGGTCATTTGAGAACATAAGCAACTCAACTACTATTTGAGATGGAATGCATAATCTAAAATGTCACCATGACCTTATAACCTGCACAATACAAACTGGGATGCAAGTAGGGAAAAGTTATTTTAAAATGTGCATCATTTCTTAACTTTAAGAAAAGCAGGAGCCATTGGTCAAATATTCTATAACAATTAAAGAAAAATAAACATATTACTTATTTTGATGATAATAATGTTTATAAGGAAGGTAAGCATTTACATGATGGTAAAAAAAAAGCTGTATTAAATTCCCTCACAAGTAAAACCCTGCCCTCTACTGGATAGTCTGCAGACAATTACATGCAGCGAGTCTTGATCTAGTGTGTGTGTGTGTGTGTGTGTGTGTGTGTGTATGTGTGTGTGTGTGTGTAGCAACTTTTTATTCCAGTCCCACGAATTGGCTGTATATATATATTTCAGTCAGAATTGATATAGTAAATTTCAAAATTATACTTCTATTTTGCCTATCTCCTCTCTTTAAATTATAGATCTGTTCATTCATTCGATTGGATGGTAAATAAATACCTGACAAACTATTATGTGCCAGAATATGACAAAACAGTAAACAGTAACAGACATGGTCACTGACCTCATGAATCTCATGATACAAAGTCCTATCCTGTCCCTGTGACCTACAATACATCAGCCCTAACCTTGGAGGACAGTAATAACTGCAACCTCATCATAATGACTGTGAAGAGGCTTTTTTTCTTCTCTCGATAAATAGAAACATGGACAAGCTACTAAAATAAAGAAACTAAATGTTCCAAACATCAAAACCTTATAAATTATTTAAATCTACAAACATACAAATAGAAAAGAGATATTTACTTATTTCTTCTTTCTTTGAATACCTGATTAACGACATACATCTGTTAAATGTGCTCTAATGTTTATAAGACATATTTACATATGACTAAGACCCCTGACATATAGAAAGTACTAAATATTGACTACTGAACTTTGAATTAAACTGTGAACTCATTTGTAGCTCACAAAATGAGAAAACCAGTGTTATTTCAATAAAAGAAAATATTTCTACAGATCTTTCTCAAAGAATTCAGAGCAAACAGCTTTTAAAAAGTAATCAATCACTAATCAATGAATATAAGAAATACCACAAGCTACTCCGTTTTCTCCATTGGTCTAAACCTAGTTATATCCTAATAAAATTTTGAAAAGTTACTAACAATCCTCTTTAATAAAAGAAGTCAAAATTTATATGAAAAGTCTCAGACATGAAACTTTAATTAATAGGCAATTTTTCAATAAGTACACCACTCCAAAACCTAAATAGAAAAAAGGAAATATCCTCATAATCCTATGTTCCTCACATATAAATATATATATATATATATTTTGCCATAGAGTCTCACTCTGTCACCCAGGCTAGAGTGCAGTGGAATAATCTCAGCTTACCAAAACTTTCACCTCCCAGATATAAGCAATTCTCCCACCTCAACCTCCTGAGTAACTAGGACTACAGGCACGTGCCACCACGCTTGGCTAATTTTTATATTTTTAGTAAAAATGGGGTTGCACCATGTTGGCCAGGCTGGTCTCAAATTCCTAACCACAGGTGATCTATCTGTTTCAGCCTCCCAAAGTGCTGGGATAACAGGTGTGAGCCTGCAATACTGAAGATGGGTGATGGGTACAGGGAAGTTCATTACTCTATTTTATTTATTTATTTATTTTTAGATGGAGTATCGCTTGTTACCCAGGCTGGAGTGCAATGGCGCAATCTCGGCTCACTGCAACCTCCACCTCCTGAGTTCAAGCAATTCTCCTGCCACAGCCTCCCAAGTAGCTGGGACTATAGGCGTGAGCCACCATGTCCAACTAACTTTGTATTTTTAGTAGAGACAGGGTTTCACCATGTTGACCAGGCTGGTCTTGATCTCTTGACCTTGTGATCCACCTGCCTTGGCCTCCCAAAGTGTTGGGGTTGTAAGTGTGAGCCACCGCACCTGGCCCCTATTTTATTTTTGTATACATCTGAAATGCTCCTTAAAAAAAATGACTGGCACCCAGGATTCAAGATGGCGCGGTAAGAACAACTCAGGATTGCAGCTCTCAGTGAATGCGCAGAGGGTAAGTCAAAGCCGCATTTCCAGACGGATCTTTGTTGCCCACAGAATGGGGAAATTCCCAGGTGTAGGAGAGACACGGGACACCAGCGCAGCTGCTTTGGCTGGTGCAGCCATTTCGGCTGGCGCCGCAGCACAGCGGCACTCTGAGATTTGGAGGGGCAGATTAGCATATCCATCTGATTAAACAGGACTTGGACAGTGAGCCAGACCAGGAGATTCCTGGGAAGCAGCATTTGAGCCAGCGCAGTGGGTCGCTGCACGGGAAATCACACAGATCCCTGTGCCCTAACAGCAGGTGACTGAAACACCTGGGAGAGAGCCAACCGTTCAACATAAAAAAAAAAAAAAAAAAAAGAAAGCTGCTCTGAGGCAGGGAGCCAGGTGAGCAGGAGCAGTGGGTTTCACCCCCACAGGGACAAAAAAAAATGGCGATTCGAAACACTCTGGGTGGAGAGTTTCACTGGGGGCACAGCTGAACCCAGGACGGTGCAGCTCGGTGGGGGAAGGGGCGTCCGCCATTACCGAGGCAATCCGCCCCTACTGAGGTACACTCCCATTGCTGATGCAGCCTGCCGTTGCTGATGCAGCCTGCCGTTGCCGAGGCAACCCGCCATTAAAATGAGACTCTGCCGCAGGGTGGAGCCCATGGCAGCAGGGTGGAGCCTCGGCAGGCAAATAGTGATTAGACTGCCTCCTAGCTGGGCAGGAAAGTGCAATGGACACTCATAAAGAAAGCCCCAACTCCCCGAGACACAGCATCTGAGGAAAAAAAGAGGTTTTATAAGCTCTGCTGCAGCAGACTTAAACGCAGCAGCCTAACAGCCCTGAATGAACAACGGAGCTCACAGCTCAGCACTTGAGCTCCTATAAAGTACAGACCGTCTCCTCAAGCAGCTCCCTGACCCCTGTATATCCAAAGAGTCACCACAAAAAGAACTGATCAGACTGACATTTGGTGGGCATCATTCTGGGACAAAGATAGCAGAAGAAGAAACTGGTAGCATCCCTCACTGTTCCGCAGCTGCTACAGGTGTACCCCAGACAAGCAGAACTTGGAGTGGACCTCAGCAGTCGTACAGTGCAGGGGCTAGATTGGTAGAAGGAAAACCAAGTAACAGAAATACCTCATCATCAACAATCTGGGCGTCCACTCAGAGACCCAATCGAAAAGTCAGCAACTACTCAGACGACAGGTGGATAAATCCACAAAGATGGGAAGAAACCAGCGCAAAAAGGAGAAAAACACCTGAAACCAGAACACCTCGCCTCCTACAAAGGACCAAAACTCCTAACCAGCAAGGGACAAAGCTGGACGGAGAATGACTGTGACGAAATGATGGAATTAGACTTCAGAAGGTGGGTAATGAGAAACTTCTGTGAGCTAAAAGAACATGTTCTAAATCAATGCAAAGAAACTAAGAACCTTCAAAAAAGTTTTGAAAAAAGATTCGAGGAAATGATAACAAGAATGGATAACTTAGAGAGGAATATGAATGAACTGAAGGAGTTGGAAAACACAACACGAGAACTTCACGAAGCAGGCACAAGTTTCAACAGCCGAAGTGACCAAGCAGAAGAAAGAATATCAGAAGTTAAAGATCAACTCAATGAAATAAAATGAGAAACCAAGATTAGAGAAAAAAACGCAAAAAGGAATGAACAAACTCTCGAAGAAATGTGGGACTATGTGAAGAGACCTAACCTACGTTTGATAGGTGCACCAGAAGGTGACAAAAAGAACGAATTCAAGCTGGAAAATACTCTTCAGGATATTATTCAGGTAAATTTCCCCAACCTAGCAAGGCAGGCCAACACTCAAATCCAGGAAATACAGAGAACACCATAAAGATACTCCGTAAGAAGAGCAACCCCAAGGCACATAATTATCAGATTCACTAGGGTTGAAATGAAGGAGAAAATACTAAGGGCAGCCAGAGAGAAAGGTCGGGTCACTCACAAAGGGAAGCCCATCAGACTCACAGCAGATCTCTCAGCAGAAACTCTACAAGCCAGAAGAGAGTGGGGGCCAATATTCAACATCCTTAAAGAAAAGAACTTTCAACCCAGAATTACATAGCCAGCCAAACTGAGCTTCATAAGTGAAGGAAAAATAAAATCCTTTGAGAACAAGCAAGTACTCAGAGATTTTGTCACCACCAGGCCTGCTTTACAAGAGCTCCTGAAAGAGGCACTACACATAGAAAGGAACAACCAGTACCAGCCATTCCAAAAACACACTAAATGCTAAAGAGCATCAACAAAAAGAAGAATCTACATCAACTGACAGGCAAAACAGCCAGCTAGCATCAAAATGGCAGTATCAAATTCACACATAACAATATTAACCCTAAATGTAAATGGGCTAAATGCACCAATCAAAAGACACAGACTGGCAAATTGGATAAAACACCAAAACCCATCAGTATGCTATATCCAGGAAATCAATCTCACATGCAAGGATACATAAAGGCTCAAAATAAAGGGATGGAGGAAGATTTAACAAGCAAATGAAGAGCAAAAAAAAGCAGGAGTTGCAATTCTCATCTCTGATAAAATAGACTTTAAAGCAAAAAAGATCAAAAGAGACAAAGAAGGACATTACATAATGGTAAAAGGATCGATGTAACAAGAAGAGCTAATGATCCTAAATATATATGGACCCAATACAGGAGCACCCAGATACATAAGGTAAGTTCTTAATGACTTACAGAGACAGATTCCCACACAATAATATTGGGAGACTTTAACACTCCACTGTCAGTATTAGACAGATCAACCAGACAGAAAATTAACAAGGATATCCAGGGCTTGAACTCAGACCTGGAACAAACAAACCTGATAGACATTTACAGAACTCTCCACCCCAAAACCACAGAATATACATTCTTCTCAGCACCACATCACACCTACTTTGACCACATAATTGGAAGTAAAGCACTCCTAAGCAAATGGAAAACAACTGAAATCATAACAAACAGTCTCTCAGACCATAGTGCAATCAAGTTATAACTCAGAATTCAGAAACTAACCCAGAACCACACAGCTTCATGGAAACTGAACAACTGGCTCCTGAATGTTGACTGGATAAACAACGAAATGAAGGCAGAAATAAAGAAGTTCTTCGAAACCAACGAGAATGAAGACACAACATACCAGAATCTCTGGGACACATTTAAAGCAGTCTCTAGAGGAAAATATATAGCAATAAGTGCCCATATGAGAAGAGTGGAGAAATCTAAAATTGATACGCTATCATCAAAACTGAAAGAGCTAGAGGAGCAAGATAAAAAAAACTCAAAACCTAGCAGAAGACAAGAAATAACTAAGATCAGAGCAGAACTGAAGGAGATAGAGACACAAACAACCCTTCAAAAAATCAATAAATCCAAGAGCTGGTTTTTTGAAAAGATCAACAAAATAGACAGACCACTAGCCAGACTGATAAAAAAGAAAAGAGAGAACAACCAAATAGATGCAATAAAAAACGATCAACGGGAAATCCCCACAGATCCCACAGAAATTCAAACCATCATCAGAGAATATTACAAACAACTCTATGCACATAAACTAGTAAACCTGGAAGAAATGGATAAATTCCTGGACACCTGTGTCCTCCCAAGCCTAAACCAGGAGGAAGCTGAAACTATGAATAGACCAGTAACACGGTCTGAAGTCAAGGCTGCAATTAAGAGCCTACCACACAAAAAAAGCCCAGGTCCAGATGGGTTCACAGCCGAATTCTACCAGACACACAAAGAGGAGCTGGTACCATTCCTTCTAAAACTATTCCAAATAATCCAAAAAGAAGGAATCCTTCCCAAATCATTTTATGAGACCAACATCATCCTGTTACCAAAACCCGGCAGAGACCCAACAAGAAAAGAAAACTTCAGGCCAATATCCTTGATGAACATAGATGCAAAAATCTTCAATAAAATACTGGCAAGCCAATTGCAACGGCACATCAAAAAACTTATCCATCATGATCAAGTAGGATTCATCCCAGGGATGCAAGGCTGGTTCAACATACACAAGTCTATAAATGTAATTCACCACATAAACAGAACCAAAAACAAAAATCACATGATTATCTCAATTGACGCAGAGAAGGCATTTGACAAAATTCAACAGCCCTTTATGCTAAAAACCCTCAATAAACTTGGTATCGATGGCACGTATCTCAAAGTAATAAAAGCTATTTATGACAAACCAACAGCCAATATCATACTTAATGGGCAAAAACTGGAAGCACTCCCTTTGAAATCTGGCACTAGACAAGGATGCCCTCTTTCACCACTCCTATTCAATATAGTACTGGAAGTTCTAGCCAGAGCAATCAGGCAAGAAAAAGAAATACAGGGTATTCAAATAGCAAAGGTGGAAGCCAAATTGTCTCTATTTGCAGACGACATGATAGTATACCTAGAAGACCCCATCGCCTCAGCCCAAAACCTCCTGAAACTGATAAGCAACTTCAGCAAAGTCTCAGGATATAAAATCAATGTGCAAATATCACAAGCATTCCTCTACACCAATAACAGACTTAAAGAAAGCCAAATCAAGAACGAACTGCCATTCACAATTGCTACAAAAAGAATAAAATACCTAGGAATACAACTCACAAGGAACGTAAGGGACCTCTTCAAGGAGAACTACAAACCACTGCTCAGCAAAATAAAAGAGGATACAAACAGATGGAGAAACATTCCATGTTCATGGTTAGAAAGAATTAATATCATAAAAATGGCTATCCTGCCCAAAGTAATTTACAGAATCAACGCTATCCCCATCAAGCTACCATTGACTTTCTTCACAGAACTGGAAAAAACTACCTTGAACTTCATATGGAACCCATAGAGAGCCCGCATAGCCAAGTCAATTCTAAGCAAAAAGAACACAGCGGGGGGCATCACACCACTGGATTTCAAACTATACTACAAGGCTACAGTAATCAAAACAGCATGGTACTGGTACCAAAACAGAGATATAGACCAATGGAACAAAACAGAGGCATCGGAGGCAACACAGCATATCTACAACTATACAATCTTTGATAAACCTGACAAAAACAAGCAATGGGGAAAGGATTCCCTGTTTAATAAATGGTGTTGGGAAAACTCGCTGGCCATGTGCAGAAAGCAGAAACTGGACCCCTTCCAGACACCTTATACTAAAATTAACTCCAGATGGATTAAAGACTTAAACATAAGACCTGGCACCATAAAAACCCTAGAAGAAAATCTAGGCAAAACCATTCAGGACATAGGAGTAGGCAAGGACTTCATGAACAAAACACCAAAAGCATTGGCAACAAAAGCCAAAATAGACAAATGGGACCTAATCAAACTCCACAGCTTCTGCACGGGAAAAGAAACAGTCACTAGAGTGAATCGGCAACCAACAGAATGGGAAAAAATTTTTGCAGTTTACCCATCTGACAAAGGGCTGATATCCAGAATTTACAAAGAACTCAAACAGATTTACAAGAAAAAAAACAAACAAGCCCATTCAAAAATGGGCAAAGGATCTGAACAGACACTTTACAAAAGAAGATATACATGAGGCCAACAATCATATAAAAAAATGCTCATCATCACTGGTCATCAGAGAGATGCAAATGAAAACCACACTGAGATACCATCTCATGCCAGTTAGAATGGCAATCATTAAAAAATCTGGAGACAACAGATGCTGGAGAGGATGTAGAGAAATAGGAACACTTTTACACTGTTGGTGGGAGTGTAAATTAGTTCAACCATTGTGGAAGACAGTGTGGCGATTCCTCAAGGCCTTAGAAATAAAAATTCCATTTGACCCAGCAATCCCATTACTGGGTATATATCCAAAGGACTATAAATCGTTCTACTATAAGGACACATGCACACAAATGTTCACTGCAGCACTGTTTACAATAGCAAAGACCTGGAACCAACTCAAATGCCCATCGATGATAGACTGGATTGGGAAAATGTGGCACATATACACCATGGAATATTATGCAGCAATCAAAAATGATGAGTTCGTGTCGTTTGTAGGGACATGGATGAATCTGGAGAACATCATTCTCAGCAAACTGACACAAGAACAGAAAATAAAATACCGCATATTCTCACTCATAGGCAGGTGATGAATAATGAGAACACATGGACACAGGGAAGGGAGTACAAACACTGGGGTCTATTGGAGGGAATAGGAGAGGGCCAGCGGGGGGAGGAGCTGGGGAGGGATAGCCTGGGGAGAAATGCCAAATGTGGGTGAAGGGGAGGAAGGCAGCAAAACACACTGCCATGTGTGTATCTATGCAACTATCTTGCATGTTCTGCACATGTACCCCAAAACCTAAAATGCAAAAAAAAAAAAAAAAATACAAGAGAGTAAAAGAAAAAAAAAAAATGACCTGGCCAGCCCTGGTGGCTCAACACCTGTAATCCCAACATTTTGGGAGGTCGAGGTGGGCAGATGACCTATGTTCCTAATATTAATATAACCAATATTTACATCTAAGTTTCTTTTTCCTCTTACATAGGTGCATTTATCAGTTGAAATTATGTTGCTCAGACAATTTAGTATATTTTTCTCATCTAATATGATAAAAAAGGCATTTTTTACATCACTAAAGGCAGAATGTTTTTTAAAATGTCATGTATTTTCACTGAAGAAAGTTTATGTAAACAAAAAATAAAAAAATATCCCATAAACCTACTGCCAGGCTATCCTCTTTTCAGACATAAACTGATGCATATTTCCTTCCCAAACTTTTTCTGAGAACTTAGGTATATGTGCATACAAACACAGTCTTTGTTATGTTAATTTTTAAAATATCATACTTTTCTGCTACTTGTTTTTGCCTTAAGAGAAAGCCTAAAAAGTCTTTCCATATTATACAATGATAAATGCTACAAGTATTCTAATGTAGAGATGTACAATAATTTTTGTAATCATTCCCCATTAATAACCATTTTTCCCAACATTATAAAAACTTTCAAAAATACAGCAAGTTAAAATAACTATATGCTGAACACTCAAATACTATTTAATTTATATGATTAACATTTTATATTTGCTTTTGTCATGTTGTCATCTGTCCATTCTTCTAATCTATCAGTGCATTTTTTAATGCATTTGGAGGTAAGTTACAGGCATCAGTAAACACCACCCCATCACTTCAGCTTGCATATCAACAACTAGGGTTCAGGCTGGGCATCATGGCTCATGCCCATAATCGCAGCACTTTAGGAAGCCAAGACAGGTGGATCACTTGAGGTCAGGAGTTCAAGACTAGCCTGGGCACAATGGTGAAACTCCATGTCTACTAAAAATACAAAAATTATTTTATTGTATGATTACACCACAATTTGTTTATTCATTCTCTGTTGACAGATACCTGGGCTGTTCCCAGGTTTTAGCTATTATAAGCTGCTATAAACATTCTTCTACAAATCCTTTTATGTGCATATATTTTCATTTCTCATAGGTAGGTACAGAAAGAGTGAAATTAATGTGTAATAGGGTAAATACATATTTAGTTTCCTAAAAAACAGCCAGACCTTTTTCCAACATTGTAGTACATTTTAAACTCCCAACAACAAAGTATGAGAGTTGCTCATACTCTCTACCTACATATCAAAGTATGAGAGTTGCTCCATATCTCTAGCTACATTTGGTCTTTTAAATTTTAGCCTTTTTAGCGCCTGCAGGCTAATTAATATCTTATTCTAGCTGTAACTGGCATTTCTCCAGTGACAAATGATATCAAGCATTTTTAATGTGCTTTTTGGCCATTTGTATACCTTTCTTTGTGAAATGTCTTCTAAATTCTTGCTCATTTTCTAATAAGGTTGGCTGTCATTTTATTTTTCAATTGTGGTCTTTATATATTCCGGATCTATGTCCCTTGTCAGATAAAGATTGTGCAAATATTTCTCCCTGACTTAACATTGATTTATTTATTTCTATTTATTTATCTGAGACAGGATCTCTCTGTGTCACCAAAGCTAGATTATAGTGATGCGATCACAACTCACTGCAGTCTTGACCTTCTGGGCATCGATCCTCCTATCCTCAGCCACTCAAGTAGCTGGGACTATAGGTGTGCACCACCATGCCTGGCTAATTTTTGGATTTTTAATAGAAACCGGGTTTTGCCACATTGCCTAGGCTGGTCTCAAACTCCTGGGCTCAAGCAATGCATCTGCCTCAGCCTCCCAAAGTGCTGAGATTACAGGTGTGAGCCACCACACCTGGCCTCCAAGTGATCCTTCCACCTCCGCCTCCCAAGTAGTTGGGACCACTGGCATGTGCCACCATGCTTAGCTAATTAAAAAAATTTTTTTTGTAGAGACAGGGTCTCCCTATGTCGTTCAGGCTGGTCTTGAACTCCTGGGCCCAAGCAATCACTCTGCCTTGAATTCCCAAAGTGCTGGGATAACAAACATGAGCCACTGAGCCTGGCATCCCTGTCTTTAGCTTGCCTATTTTCCCAATGTCCTTCCATCACAATTATTTATGAATTTTTTTCTTTTACAGCTAATGTTTCCCATGTCCTAGGAAATCTTTGTCCACTCCTAAGCTACAAAGATGTCTTCTTCTAGAAGCATTATAGTTTTTGCTTTTAGTTAGAATTATTTTCTATATATAGTGTGTGGGAAGGGGTGATTTTTTTTAAGCCCACATGGAAATCCAGTTTCACCAGCACCATTTGTTGAAAAGACGTTTCTTTTCCCTTGCATTGCTTTGACATCTTTGTTGAAAATCAAATAATTGTATAAACATAGGTCTGTTTCTGGGTTTACTACTTGGTTCCATTGATCAACTTGATTGCTATGTCAGTATCTCACTGTATTTGTTTCTTTGAGCTGCTGTGACAAAGAACCACAAACCAGATGGCATAAAACAACAAAAATTTATTATCTCACAGTTCTGGAGACCAGAAATCTGAAATCGAGTTGTTGGTAATAGCATGTTCCCTATGAAGGTTCTAAGGAAGAATGCTTCCTGGCCTCTTCCTAGCTTCTGGTGGCTTCTAACAATCCCTGGGGTTCCATTACATTCAGATACATCACTTCAGTCTCTAATTACATCATCATATAAGCTTATTCCCTCAGTGTCTTTGTCTCTGTGTCCTTTCCTTCTCACATAAGGAGAGTGAGAAGGATTTCCTTCTCACTAGTCATTGATTTAAGGTACACCATAATCCTCTATGTAGCCTCATCTTAACTAGTTGCATCTACAAAGACTCTATTTCCAAATAAAGCCACATCCTGAGAGTCCAGGTGGACATGAATTTTGGGGGACACTATTCAACTTACTACACATACTGCCTTGGTTACTGTAGTCTTATTGAAAGCAACCAAAACAATATAAGTCTGCAAACTCTGTCCTTCTTATTTACAATTTCTTTGTAAATAAGGGTCCTTTTTGTTTCTACATAAATTTTAGAAATCAGATTTGCATTTTCTACAAAAAGCCTGCTCGATATTATGATTGGAACTGCACATAGGGAGAACTGACGTCTTAACCACATTGAGCCATCCAGTCCATGAGCATGGTATATATTCTATTTTTCAGGTTTTCTACAGTTTCTCTCAGCAATGTTTTACGATCTTTAAGGCACTGGTCTTATACATTTTTTGTTAAATTTATTTCTAAGTATTCCATGTTTTTTAGTGCCATTTTTGATGAAATTTTTAAAATTTCATTTACTATGAGTATATAAAAATACGATGATTTTTGTATATTGACCTTATGTCTTGCTAAACGAATTAGTTAAATATATTAGTTCTAATAGTTATTTTCTAGGTTCCTTGGGTTTTTCTGCATAAACAAACGCTGTCAACTGCAAAAAGAAACAGTTTTACTTCTTTCTTTCTGACTTTCAAACATTTTGTTTATTTTTCTTCCCTTACTGCATTGGCTAGGATTTCTACTTCAATGCTAATAAGAATGAAGAGAGTGGGTATTCTTGCTTTTTCCCCAATCTTTGGGAAGAGCATTTCATATTTTACCATGAAGCATGATTTTAGCAGGTTTTTCATAGGTACTCTTCTTTTTTTTTTTGAGACAAGAGTTCCACCCTGTCGCCCAGGTTGGAGTGCAATGGCATGATCTCAGTTCACTGCAACCTCCACCTCCCAGGTTCAAGCAATTTTCTGCCTCAGCCTCCCAGGTATCTGGGACTACAGGTACACACTACCATGCCCAGCTAATTTTTGTAGTTTTAGTAGAGATGAGGTTTCACTATGTTGGCCAGGCTGGTCTCAAACTCCTGACCTCAGGTGATCTGCCTGCCTTGGTCTCCCAGAGTGCTAGGATTACAGGTGTGAACCACCACACCCAGCCTGCTAATAGTTCTTTACTCTGAATGGTTACTAAATTTTGTCAAGTGTTTATTCCACATCTATCAAAATAATCATATGGCTTTTAAAATATTAATCCAATCCTGAATTTCTGAGGTAAATGCTGCTTAGTAATGATGTATTATCCTTTTTACATATTTCTGGATTTCACTTGCTAGTATTTCATAAAATCTTTGCCACATACTAGTATTGGAGGTATGCTGGTTTTATAAATGAGTTGGAAAATGCTTCCTACTCCTCTCTTCTCTGAATTCTGTCAACTTAGTCTTATATCTTCCTTAAATTTTGAGAGAATTGATCAGTGAAAACATCTTGGCCTAGACAGTAACCAATGTTTAATTGGGCATATTTTACTAGGTATGCTTTGTCTCTCAATATATGTTAAAATAGTCTACCTTGACTGTCATGAAACCACTAGTTCTATTATTTTTATTTTCTAATATCTAGAATAGTATACTTGAGTTCCTTTTTCAGTTTTATCTTTATCCTTTCTATCACTCATGTGCTATTCTCCAGTGATACTTAACTATTTGCATCTCCCTAATGTACCATACTGACTTCATCATATACTGTGATCAAATCACAACCTTTTAAACCTATTTTCTCACTTCCAAAATGAAAATATCTTGCAGAGATGTGGTCAGAACTATAAGCTTCTCAACAAATAATAGCTAATATCATGATGATGATGATGATACATTTATTTTACTCTCTGTCTTGTTTAACATTTTACTACCATTAAACCACAAATCATGCTTCAGGACTTCGTCTACATCTCCTTGGGAAGCCTTCACTGACTGCCTGACTGCCCCTTACTCTATGACTCTAGAGCTAAATGCACAAACTTGCATTAGAACACTTACTGCAGTTATTACAATTATTTATCTGCATTTTTGTCCTCCAATCTGTGAAACACAAAAAAAGCAGAGATTTTATTTTAAATACCTTGCGATCCCCTGTACCAATCATAGTATTTAGTGCTCATTATTTGCTGAATAGAGTTTATAAAACCAAAAATATTGCATTTTATCTTCAAAGTCTCCTTGTATAGAAAGGATAAGGACATCTAGAGAGACTAAAGCACCAAGAGACAAAGCAATTTGCCCACATTCAGAAACTTAGTGGTGGCCGGGGGTGGTGGCTCATGCCTATAATCCCAGCACTTTGGGAGGCAAAAGCAGGTGGATCTCTTGAGGTCAGGAGTTAGAGGCCACACCCTGGCCAAGGTGGTGACACCCCATCTCTATTAAAAATACAAAACTTAGCTGAGTATGGTGGCCTACACCTGTAATCCCAGCTATCTGGGTGGCTGAGCCATGAATGAGAATCTCTTGAACCTGGGACACAAAGGTTGTAGTGAGCCAAGATCATGCCACTGCACCTCCAGCCTGGGTGACAGAGCAAGCCTCTGTAACAAAAAAAAAAAAAAAAAAAAAAATCAAAAAAACATTGGGACTAGGTTCACAAGAAAGGGTATAAAAGAAGTACTGGCCAAGAAACTAGAAGACTAGTTACAGGCCCAGATCTGCATTTACTCTCCGTAGTAACCACAGAAAAATCCCTAAATTCTTTATTTCCTCATCCATAATAAGGATAATTGTACTATAACTTTAACTTAGAGAGTTATGAAAGCTCTCATATAATAGTGTTTTATAAATCCTAAAGCTCCATATACAAATGCAAAGTATTAATATCTAATGGGCCAGTAATTCACAAACTTTCTAGAGCCTGCTCCTTCTTTTATCACCCCCATATCAATTAACTGCCAAGTCCTATATTGATTGATTTGGCAGGATCTCACATATTTATTATCTCTATTTAATCACTACTAAACTACCCTCAGCCCCTCATCCAGTCTCATCAAGATTACTACAATAATCTAACTGCTGCCCTGCTGATAGCCCATCTTCAGTTTCTGCCCAAGTATACTCTGGTGTATACAAAGTATACTCCCAAGTATACTTTGAAGTATACTTCAAAGCTTTGAATAGCTTTTTGATGCCTTTTTAATACAGAACAAATTCCTTGAACTAACAGTCAAGCTCCCTTATCCTAGAGGCTTATCTAGTCTCATTCAGTACCTATATAACATACACACACACTAACTCTACCTTCTGTGCCTCCTACATAATAGGAAACTCAGAAATTCACTATTCTATGTTATCTACTTGTGCTGCTACAGATATGATCCTGGAATATCTTTCCTCCTTAACTCCAAAATTTATCCCACCTTTTGATCTTGCTCAAACAACAGTTTGCTTCAAGTCTATCCAAATTTCCTCTCCAGCTAAAAAGTAATTCTCCCTCTTGTAATTTATTTGCACTTTTTTTCACAAGACACTTAAGACTTTCTGCTTTCTGTTGTTCTTTATGAACGTGCCTTATAGCCCTTACTAGACACTCCTTTAAGAAAAGATTTATGAATCATTGATTCACCATTCCTACAACAGTGATGCTCATATGTAACACTGTCAATAAAAAATATTTTAAATTAACCGACAATTTCTATCTGGGTTGGCTTATTTTACAAAGTTCAACCTCTTCCTTTCCATCGCCATTCAGAAATTCTATTCCTTAGCAAAAAATTATAGTTTTGTTTTATTTAAGTTAATTAAACTGTCTATAGGCTGAGCTTTCTATACTGGAGCTACCTATAAGGTTTCCCAAGTCTAAAACACAGGCTCACATTTCAAAAGTTGAAAGTACAACAAAATTATATGTTAGAGGAAAAGCAATCATACTACTAAATTATGTAAGGGTAAAAAAAATGAACTGGAGAAGGTGAACATTTCTAATATTTATCTCTGCACAACTCAGGCTGACACCTTGAAGAGAATGATGTGACAGCTTACAAGAAAACAAACTCACTCATTCCCCTTAATTTCTGAAGGCTCATGAAAGTCTGACAGACCAGCCACAGGGTGATGTCTCATGTGTATCGCCCATGACAATTATGGCTTCAATAAAAATGGTCTCCATTTTTAATAAACTCCAAATGGTTTTCAGGAAATAGCCAGGCTAACAAGTTCATATTTAAAAAGGCATATTTCACCAATTAGCAGCTAACCAGTTCATGGACTTAAATCAGACTGCATGGAGAGGTACAAAATCAATGTGGTAGCAGAGGGCAAGGTAATGTGAAAGGCTGATTCCAGAGGTCAACTGTGGTGACACATGCAAAGGGCTGTGCTGAGAATCACCTTCCTCTCTACTTTCTTTTGGTTTGATTTGGTTTTCCTCTTCAAACAGCTATTAAGAGACTCCCTATGAATTTTCAAAGTGTTTGACTCAAATCTTGGAAATGCTGATAAAAATCATAGTTCATTATAAGCATTTGAAATGATATGCCCTAATGATAGATAAATGAGATACACCTAATTTTTAAAGTATTCTGTAATTCACACTGGAAATACCCTGCAGGTGTACTTACATTAATTTGATAGCTGCTTAATATGGGATAACTGGGCTGCTAAATAGACATTTTGTTTCCTCCCCATCAAGGGTTGCCAACAGAAGGGGGAAAAGAGGAAAAGGAGTGCTAAGCAATGGTATCTCCTTTCATTCTTAGTCTCCACTCCTATGGCCCAGCTGTTACCAGCTAGTACAGTGACAAAGGAGGAGGAATGTAGGGAGAAGAGTCCTCCTGCCAATTCTCACCACAACCTTACTTCCAATCTCTCCTACACACTGCTGTGTTTTTAGTGACAGAACTCTGCATTAGTTCTTCACTTCAGAAAACAAACCACCAGAGGGTTAAAATTACAGGCTTTTCTGGATGTGGTGGAAACTTCACCATCACGACTCGTAATTCCAAATAATTAACAACTAGTCTGGGAACACAATCAGATTAGGAAGAATATCTTCATCCAATTCTTGAACAAAATATGCCTCTAATCAAAAACAGTCACACTATTTTCCTACACAAACTTCATTAAACATGAAGAATATTATTATGTCGGTTTATAAAACATGAAGGAAGCTCTTCTTTAAACAGTATTTATTGTACAATTGCTATCTATTTTCATGCTAATAAAACACACAGAGGAATTCTTACTTTAGAAAAGATAAAACATAATAATACACCCTCATTATCCTATGCCTCCAAATAATTTACTTCTCAGTACTGTTATGGCAAATGATTAGTCCTTAGGAAACAAACCCACACTGGCATAAGATGCTCTGACAAGTCTTTCCTATCTCTCACTTCCATTACTGCACAACTACATGGCCATATCCATCAATCACTTTTGCAAACACCACCAAACCACATTGCTATTATGTCCAAACCAACAGATACTTTTAATAGCATATAGTCACACTATTACCCATCTTTATAGACAGGCAATCAAACTCAACATGACAAGATTTCAGAGAAACAGCTAATAGTGATATAAGTTTTCTAGCCCTAGAAGTAAAATGGATGCAATTTGTCCAAGAAATAACAGGTGAGCAACAACTGCAATCTTTATTATAGTTTATACTTGTAAATAATTAGGTTTTTTGAACTCTAAGAAGTACTTTGAGAAATATTTATTTTTAAGCAATATATTTTTTAAAAGATGGGGATCTTACCTTGTTGTCCAGGCTGAAGCACACTGGTGCAATCACAGCTCACTGATGCCTCAAATTCTTGGGCACAAGGGTCATCCTGTCTCAGCATCCCAAGTAGCTGGGACTACAGATGCATGCCACCACACTCAGCTAATTAAAAAAAAAATTTGTAGTGATGGGGTCTTGCCATCTTGCCCAGGCTGGTCTTGAACTCCTGGGCTCAAGCGATCATCTTGCCTCAGCCTTCCAAAGTGTCTGAATTACAAGCATGAACTGCCACACCCAGACTTAAGTAATTTTTAAGATAGTTCAATGACCGCTTAGCACACTCACAGCGCTACTTTTAAAATGTGCCATGCAAGTCAAGTAATGTCCATACATACATATTATACTGCTTAATTCTTAATTTAATTATTAAATTATCCAGTATGAAATAGTATTATTATAGTCTGAACTTCACTTTTATTAAGGATGAAACACAACTAACTTTCTTAAAAGGCTTGAGGACACTCCCTGGAAGTGCATTCTTTGAAGAAAGAATAAAAATGCAAATATATTAGTAGTTAAAACAAAAGCTATTACAATGAAAAAATCTTTTTTAAAAATTAGACAAGTTCTACTCAACAACTCTATGTAATATCAATCTAAAAAAATTCAAAATGCAGTCAAAGAATGTTGAGAAATCTCAGATTTCTCAAACCTGCTCAAACCTGTGAGCAGGTTTCCCTGTAGAAAGATAATGTCCGACGCAGAAGGAACCTTAGGGATGACCTAGTACACTGCTATCCAATCTAACTTTCTGCAGTGATGAAAATGTTCTGTGCTGTTCAGGATGGCAGCTACCAGCCAGCCATATGTGGCATTTGAAATGTGGCTACTGTGACTGAAGAACTGAATTTTAAATTTTATTTCATTTTAATTAATTTCAATTTAAATAGCCATATGTGGATACTAGCTATTGTTTGTACTCCACAGATGTAGTCTTTCTTTCTATACCACTCCAATGAAATAGTCACCAGGGCAACCGAAAAAAGATTCAGGGGTTTCAGACATATGTAGATACAACTTCAGATGACTCAATTTGCAGCTTTTTGTTTAGAGGTTTTAAAGTATACCTAATTTTATTCAATTGCATCAGGCTACTTTTGGTAACCCCAATTCATTTTAAAAGAAGGATGAAAATGGTCAAATATTCTTCTTAAAATAATTTTGGTTTCATAGCCTATATAAAAATGAAGGCATATGAGGACTGATGTGGCAAATAATTACATCACATAAAACATTAAGAGGTCAGTTTCAATCTGTCATCTGGGGCATTCATCCTCCTCTTGTACATAGGAAATTAAAAAGGTAAATGAGCCCCTGAAGTGTGAACTTACAGAGCTCAGAAATCCAAGAAAGAGAATAGCCTCTCCCTTCTACTGACTTCTAGTCATATGTATTTTCTTAGTCCAAACATATTGAACACCCACTTTGCCTAGGACATTAGATAGAGCACTGTGAAAAATAAACACCAAGACAAATAATACAAGGTGTCTGTCCTCTAGAAACGTACTACATTTTAGCATAAAAATGCTACACAACGAGTATAAAGCCTGGGCACAGTGGTTCATGCCTGTAATCTCAGCACTTTGGGAGGCCAAAGAGGGAGGATTGCTTAAGGCCAGGAGTTTAAGAGCAGCCTGGGCAACATAAAAAAATTTTATGTCTCCACAAAAAAAAGATTTTTAATTAGGTAGGTGTGGTGGTGTGCACCTGCAGTCCCAGCTACTCTGGAAGCTGAGGTGGGAGGATCACTTAAGCCTAGGAATTTGAGGTTACAATGAGCCATAATCATGTCACTGCACTCCAGCCTGGGGGGACAGAGCAAAACAGTGGGGCAGGGGGAAGATTATAATAAAGGTTATGCATACTAGCCTTACCTTTTCTACCAATCACCAATCGAAAATGGTCAACTATCACCTTACACAAATAATTCCTAAAACTCTCAGTAAGTGATTGTGGCTCAAGGCCCACATTTCTGTATGCTGGACTACTCTCCCTGAATATCCTGAACTCAGTTCAAGAAACATTAACTGTGCATCAGCCATGAGCTAGAAAATACTAAGACGGCCTGGAGAAATTCGGCCTCATGAATATTCAGGCATTTCATGGATATATAATGCCTCATGTAATAAGCGCATGGAGGTATGCACCAGTACTACTGTGAGCACACAGAGGAGTTTTTAGTAGAGGCTGAGAGAACAAAAAAAAGGATACTCAGAGGAGATAAAAACTGAGCTGAGTCTTGAAGGATGGATTAAGAAGCAAGCAAACAGCATGACGGAGAACCACACAGAATTTAATGTCACTAGACTATCAAGTTTAGAGCAGGAAAAGTGGCATGAAATGATGCTGGAGAGGTGGCCAGAAGCAAGGTCACAGAATGCCATAAATATCACCAATAGAGCTGAAAAGAGATGAAATGCCATGGAAGGCTTTAAGATCTATGGTTCAGATAGCTCACTATGTGTGAATAGCATGAAGGACGGATTTGAAGGGAGCAACTGCACACAGGGGTCAGCTAGCTGACTGTTACAATATACCAGCTGAGTCACAACGATGGTATAGAGAAGACAAGTGTAACAGAAATAGATGCGAGACTCAAGAAGTGTTTAGGAAGTAAAATTATGACATCATACTATAAGATGAGGAAATGGTAGATCAGCAGAAAAAGGTGGCTGAGGCAGAATAGGGCAGCTAAGATGATTAACAAGTTCTGGATTGAGTGAATGAATAGATAAATGGTGGAACCATTCACTGACAGAATTTGGAAAACAAGTGACAAAGCTAGTTTTAGGTACTTGTGGAATTCCAGTTGAATAAATCCAATAGGCAATTAGAAGCTGACAGAGAGAAAGAGTGGCAGAAAAGAGATTTGCGTGTAACCTGCATTAAGTGGTATTGAAAGTTCTCACTATGTTAAGTGCTGAACAAATCACAGCCTCCTAAAAGGAAGCTTACAGAAGATGACTGTAAAAAGTCAATTACAGAACTCTGAGTGGTAAAGATGTGTCAATGTAGGTTCATCAATGGTAGCAAATGCACCACTTTGGTGGGGGATGTTGAGAATGGGGGAGGGTGTGCTTGTGTCGAGGTGGAGGATATATGGGAAATCTCTGTATTTTGCTGTGAATCTAAAACTGCTCTAAAAAAAGAAATACTAGGCTGGGTACAGTGGCTCATGCCTATAGTCCCAGCACTTTCAGAGGCTGAGGCAGGGGGATCACCTGAGGTCAGGAGTTCCAGACCAGCCTGGCCAATATGGTGAAACTGTGTGTCTACTGAAAACATAAAAAGCAGCCAGGTGAGGTGGTGCATGCCTGTAATCCCAGCTACTTAGAAGACTGCGGCAGGAGAATCACTTGAACTCCGAAGACAGAGGTTGCAGGGACCTGAGATCATGCCTCTGTACTCCAACCTGGGGGACAGTAAGACAATGTCTCAACAACGACAAAAAAGTCTAATAAAAACATCTTTTAAAAAGTCAATTGCAGAAGTGATAGTCATGCTGAACACTAAATGTCAAGCAAGCACTAACCAGGCAGCAGGGAATGAGAGATGATGTCAGAAAAGATACAATAATATATATATCCTAAAGTATAATTGTTTTGAACATGGTGCACTTGAGAAATGGAATAAGACTAGCTTTTCCTTTGAGATAACAAGAAAGAGAAGCATGAAGTACACTGAAACCCTTAAATGAAGAAACTGAAGGAATTTACCTTTTAGATGTCCTCGAATCTCTCCAAAAGGCATGAAGTAGGAGCAGATGAATAGTGGAATGTCAGTAAATGTCAGAAAACAATGAAAAGGTTTGGAATCCTAGAGTAATGAGGAAACAGATAAAAGATGGCAACAGGAAACAAAGGTCTAGTCAAGATTCAATAACATGAACTTTAGCAAGGCCTACCAGTAAGATTTGTTATTCCCTCTCTCCCGCCTTCCCTCTCTCTCCCTTTATTTCTTCCTCCTTCCCTCCCTTCCCCATCACAACTGTGCTGCATAAAGTGTGCTCCATGGAATTCTAGCTACAAAGGGAAGTCAAAAGCTGTTACATGGAAGCTGTTCATAAATAAGTTTGAAAAAAAAGGTTTAATTAAATAAAACTAAGTATGTTTCTTTACTGTAATACTCCTCAGAGCTATTCTCAGAAGGAGGATATAATATGCAGTGTATTCCTCCACCTTAACCATTCAACCTTTTACTTATGAAAGTATTAATACTTGCTAATACAACCTCAGACACAGTGGACCAGAAGAAAAGGGATGAAAGCAGGGGGCGACTCAAAAAAAACAAAAAACAAAAAACAAAAACAAAACAGAGAGCACAGTAGGAATAAGGGAATAGAAAACCAGGAGGTTGTAGAAAGAGAGGAATTCTGAGCTCATAACTTTAGAGAAGGAGCTGCTGGCCCAGGGGATAATCAGGTCCAAGCTCTGGTCATTTGTGGTCATACTGGTTAATAAACTAGAAGGTCTCACACACAGAATTGGGTCTGACTAGTAAATGGTTCATCAACACGAATATATTGGTTCAAACTTTGATAAACCATAGCACTAACAGCACGCCCTCACATAAAAGGCCCAATGGACCTATAGTCCTTGATGATCAAGTTTACTGCTTGTTTAAATAGGCTATACATTGAAACAGTACATAAATTTGAAAAACAGATCTAACATTCTGTTCTTATTTACTCATTATTTTAATCTTCAGATAAAAATACTACAATAGTCCTTCCAGGGTTAAATATGAATGTTACATGTAGATAAAACTGTTCAGAGTATACTCAAAAGGACTACAGAATGTATTTTTAATGAGTAGGAACACAAGAAGAATAAATGTAAATTAATTTAACAGGAATTATAAATCAAGGCATCACGTTGAACAGTGTTAATAAAATACAAACAAAAAACCCAAAACACTTCAGAGCTAGCTGATAAAGTGAAATATAAAGCATGGGCAAGATTAAAA